CTAGTCAAAATGTGATGAAATGGATAAATATAACGGCATAAACAAAGTACCATGATCACCGTGAAACAAAGGCTTCGGGATTCGCGACCAGTGCGCACGAATACAGCCAAGCAAAAAGCTCCTGATTTGCGCATCGGATGTACAGACGAGGTGAACGAACACGAGCATGAATAACGATCTGACACAAACGGAAACACCACAGACACCCGGCGTACGATTGAGCACAACTGCCATGTCAATCACACCGGAAACATTCGGAATATGGCAACATAACAACAACGACCACCACCAACCCTAGTAGAGGCGACCAGAACACAGAATACGGGGATAGCAGCAGGGGAGGAGTGGCAGATGTGACACCAAACTTGCGGAACGCTGGTTCAAACGATCACATAGATAAACAATATATGTCGGAAAGTGACGGCGACGTGAGTGCTGACTCAGCACCGAACATTGAACAACGGCGTATGCAAGCACAAAATACGTGTGACGGTGAGACAAACCGAAACAATACCACGTGGTTGCTAATCACGATATCCGCAATCTGCAATACAGGTGAGAGGTGAAATGCACTGACTATAAACAGATATATAGAGCGCCCGAAAGACAGCGAGGGAGAGATTTGGGTCAGGATGAATGGTACCGTTCGGAGAAGGAGGATTTGGGAGACGGCGGACACCATTGAGGTAACAAAGTACTTTCAATAAAGAAAAACAGTTTTGGGACCGAATATTCAGATCATTTTTGAGGAATCAAATGAGCTAGGACAGAGAGAAGAAAATGTGTTTTTGAGTTTCGCATTTCACAGTAAGATCATTCGACAAACCGATTCCGGATACAACAGAAGAAGATTGAAATGCATCGTTAGATATACTGTTCTTCAATGACAATCGGCACAATGTAACAGTTCAGTCGCAAACAGGGTAACATATTGTCGCGCTGGATGAATTCGGCGAAAAAAAATCGTTCACCATGAAGAAAGGTATCAAGAGCAGTCAGCGCTAACAATGTTCGACTTGGAAGTAGATGATTATTTTCCGGTTGTAATCGAGTTCATTGTAGTTCTTTCAAACTCACATTCTGTCTCTGTTTATACAACCATTAACCATGCTTTTAGTGCGCCGTTTTTCATTGCTGTCTTATGGCTGCCTACATGCATGAAGCAGCAGAAGAAGGCAGAAAAGTTGAAAGTAGAGTAGCAGAGAGAATGGAAAACTTAGGGAGATTAAGATTGCAAAGAAATTGAGCGCCACTGTTTACCACAATGAGCCATATCCGTGAGTGTTTCTAGCCCTTGATCATAATGATCCTGGAGTGCCTATTCCGGGAGCCTGAGGCGACCTACATGACTACGTCTTCTGGTTAGGGTTTTCATACCCTTATGCCACGTCTAATTTTTAACATCCTTAGCTTTTTCCCGATATAGTGGCATAACGTATTAGGTGTGTGGGTCACGTTCGTTGCGGTTAGTAGAATCTAACCCACTTACAAAACATCGAATCACAGCATTGATTCTTCATTGGACTGGCTTTGAAAGAGCTGTCTGGCCAATGGTCACCCGGTGTTGCAAACAAGGTTATTGTGACCGAAATACATTTCCTGGGTACAAGTATATGAATGAGCTGACAAAACATTACCGGATACGCATGCCTGACGAGCAGCAAGAACCGCGAAACCGGTCGTGTGCTTCCAGGGAAATTTGGTCCAGCCATTCACATACTACTTATTATATGTATATATATATATATATATATCTATATATCGCGTGGTGGACATTTGTGGCCATAAGACCACTAACCGCGGTCGCAATAGACAGAGCATGCAGGTGAAGATAGAAAGAGAACGTTAGAAGGGTAACGCCCAGAGAGCTGGAGCGAACTCGGATTCGGGTATGGGGTGTAAGAATGGAAATCGCAAGACACAGCCAAGCACCGCGATGGAATAGAATAACAACAGAAAACAAGCCGCAAGAACAAGCCAGTGAGAGAACAGTACGCGGTGTTAACTCTAGAGATTTCAAATTGCGCCGGAACGTATGCATTCCAGGTCAGAAGAAGAAAAACTTCGACCAGTACGTGTGGTACTAGAGCCAACGATCGTTTGAGAACAGGCACGCACGCTAAACATTACATAATCACCCGATTGAGGTCCACGTAGGATGCGAACTCGGCTCACCTCATTGCGTACACAAATTTGCTTAGGAACTTAATCAGTCAAGTTACTGAAAAATAAGCACACAGCCTTTGCAGGGGTGTACAACCGTTGGCACAGGCGCAGAGAACAATGAGAGTGCTCGCGTGCGCATAACTCCGAACATGTAGGTTGCTCATGGGCAAAGAACCGATTATAGTCCAAAGTACCCAAACACGCTCGTTGGTGGCAAATCATTCACGGACGCTATAATCCCGGGAATAATCAGGGACAAAATCATCGACAACTGCTGACACATTGTTGATTTTTACAGAGATGTGGAACGAGAGAGACAAGGTTAAATGTCCACCTGTTATGGGAGACGTTTTCAAAAGTTTCGAAAATTCAGTATACTGAGAAGTGCAATCAAGCAGGGTCAACCGATGTGGTCGCACCAGAGTACGACTACTAATACTGCTACTATCACCTGTGTTCTAAATCTAAAAGACAACGCCGAGATCAGGTGAATTGTTTATTACAAACCAAACCAAGGGTATCGATAAACTGGTGTACATACAACAAAACGTCTCATTTGGTATAGGTCATCATAATTTCCACAAGCACACAGGATAATTAGAGGGACAGTAGATACGCATTTTCCGTATTTACTTGTGAATTCTGGAGCATCGGCACTCTTTTCGTAGACCCACCATCTCTGTCTTCCTAGATCTGAAAGCGGCTTTCGACTAACTCTGGCGCTGCCTTTCTCAGAAAGGTGTGCCCGAGAAGTTAATTTCAATATTACGATCACTTTATACTGATAGCCGACGTCGAGTCCGGGCTTACGGCACTTTTTCTACCGAGTTCACCACAGAAAATGGTTTTCGACAGGGCTGCCCTCTTTCTCCTTTTCTATTCACCTTTGTTATAGATTTGATTATGGAAACAGCCCTATCCTCGTGCGAGGATAGTGGCATCGATTTACTTCCAGGTGGCAGGCTGTCTCATCTGGAGTACGCAGACGACACTGTGCTAATAAGTGAAGATCCAGGTAAGTTGCAAGCTTTTCTTGAAAGTTTCAGTGCTAGTTTAGCCATGTTCGGTATGCGTTTTGCACCTTCAAAGTGTAAAAGGTTACTACAAGACTGGGTTGGTCCAGCACCCAGCCTCACGCTAACTGGGGAAGTAGTTCAGGACGTAGACAAATTTAGCTATCTGGCCAGCTATATCTCACTTGGCGGACACATCGCAGATAAAATGTCGGCGCGGATGCAAAACGCTCGGTTGGTATTTGCCAACTTGAGACATTTGTGGTGCCGTCGCGACATCCGGTTGTCTGTGAAGGGCCAAGTGTATGCCGCGACAGTTCGATCAGTCCTGCTATACGGTGCAGAAACTCGGCCATTAAGACAACAGGATGAAGACAGATTGTTGGTGTTTGAACACCGCTGTCTACGCAGCATTGCACGAATCTGGTGGGTAGCCGGATGAGCAATGCTGAGGTTAGGGGCAGACTTTTGGGTAAATACGGTCGCCCACTAGAGAAAGTGGTCGATCTTCATAGATTACGTTGGCTGGGACATGTGTTACGTATGTCACCAGATAGGTTACCACGGCGAGTGATGTTCGCCGAGGCAAGTAGTGGGTGGAAAAAAGCCAAGGTTGGTCAAGCTAAGACCTGGCACGAGGGTATGAAAACCCAAACCAGAAAAGTGGGTCACATAGGTCCTGTTTGGCTGCCTGACTGGGGACCTCGGGATGATGGTTACCGATGGTTAGCTACACTGAGTGATATGGCTGGGTGTCGTAAACAGTGGCTTTCAACTTTCCTTTCTTCTCCTATTCTTCGTGCGAATGGGCACCCAAGAGACAGCAACCAAAACCGGTGCAAGAAAGTTCATGGTTAATGGTTGTTCAAACTGAAACTGAAAATTACTTGGGAATTCCGTGGGAATCCAATAACCACTTTTTGGTATGTGCAAATTACTCACAATACTAGTCTGGTGATAGATGTGGCCTACGCGGTCAAAATGGCAAGGTCATCGGAACACATGTGAGACTAACCAAATAAACAAACGCGCTTAGGGTTGCTGAACAGCTAGTTAGGTGTCTCAGATCGTGACCTTTGGACCTTTGCCGTTCTTCTAAATTAGTCGTACACCATATTTGACCGAGACACGTGACCCGGAGTGTGATACAAATACAAACACATGTGGGCGCGCATAGAGGCATCAATGTTCCTTATGCAATCGGGGTAACCGATTTGATAGACTTGGCAAAGACTGCCGCGGAGCGGTTGAAATCCCATATTATCCTTGCGCCTAATTGCAAGCTCACCATGGCTATCGATTAGTAGGTATCGCCCTTGAAAGGTGGCAACATTCACGCCAACTTTTTCCAACGGTCAAGACTTTGTTGCACTATTTCGAAGCTTCTGTACTCGACTCCCACTAATACCGATCAACTAGCCACGCTTCGCCTCTCGACAGATCACCTATAATCGACCACAGTCTCGTGTCTCAAAATCGATGGCACTTTTGCCTAATTGATAGGGGAAGGAAACAACGTGGATTGAGAATTTCGCAAAATGCAGCAAACTCGTGTTGTTTCTGCTATAACGCACGAATCCGTCCAAACAGCGCTCTCGATTGAGCCGAGGTTAAGAAAATTGTGAGAAAACGACACCCATAGACGCCATTTGGGTTCAACGTACCGTTTGTACCTCAGCATTGCTAACTGGATTGCAAGATGGGTACTGGTGTTGGAATTTTCCCTGAGCACCAAGATGAAGATCGCAGATTATTGACAAGACACAATAACAGAAACAAAGAAAAAAAATTAAACCACACCAGCGTTAGAGAAGCAATGAGTTACATAATGTCCTCCTCAGAGTCCGGGACTCGGAAACAAAGCGAAGGGGAACCGGGAGAGAAACAAAACAAATAAAACGAGGAATGAATCGATCATACCTGTGAGTACGGACTCGACTTGTCGAACAATTGTCAACTGGCAAATATACGACCGGGGTTGGTAACAGTCGAGTGGAGTCCACGCGACCCCAGTGGATTCGCCCACACTCAGACAGGAGGATTGTGGGAGAACTTGGCGTAACTGTTCCACGGATAAGCTCAGATAGTCCACCGGTGACGCATCGCTCCAAACAAAGTGAACTGATTTGTTGGGTATGTTAGCTGCACAAGAGAACCACATGGGAATGGTTTAGATGGATGCGGATCGATAAGCGAAAAACAGAAATTAAAAAAAACCAAGGTCGAATTTTCATGGACGGCAGGGAGAAGAAAGAACCACGAAATAGTCTTGGATTTTACTGGTCATTGGGTTGTGTGGTAGTGATTTGTTTTTCTTACACATTCGTGTGAGAGATGAACAGTATGCAAGGTAAACACCTGCTATCTGGTCATGTAAACCCGCAGTTGGAGTGACGAACCACACAAGGCGGTGCTCGGTAAGGTGTAATATAAAGCCGGGAGTGAGGTGGGTAGGGGACAGCGGAGCAACCTATCACCGAAAATGCTTGAATCAGTCAGTAATACGTGATCCTAGTCATTGTGATCGAAACTCGTTCACACGATTGATTGCTTCTATTCCAATGATGTGAAAGAAAAACATCGTGTGACTAACTGTCTGTGCAAGAGAGAGAAAGAGAGT